ATGTGTGGTCAAGTTGTGCTGAAATGACTTTCCTGCCTGTTTTGTTTCATTCTTTGCTATAATGGGTGGTTTTGTGCATATGGGTTTGGAAAGGATATGTATGGAATTGAGAGTGATGTCAAAACAAAAGATATTAGACATGTTTTTGAAATTTTGGCAAAACAAAGTGGTATGATCAGTGTGTTAAAATGTCCCTGCTTTGGTTGTCTATAGAGCTCCAGGACATTGGGTGTGGAACATTGCCTAACCATTGGTGTTGAACTGAAATAGAAATGGGGACCACTTAACTATACATAAGGACTCCTAAGTGCTTCATATTGACCTGGTTTTAAAATGTAATATTATCTGTGTTTTATTGTATTTTTCTTTATTTTGTTAAATATTTCCCAATTATATTTTAATCTGGTTTGGGTTGCACTGGGGAGTGTTGTGGGTCACAAACGGCACAAAAACCACATGTCTGACACCTCTGGCCTAAATGATCAATCATAGCTTTTGTGTAAATGATTTCTGAAGTGTTTTTTATGTACTTTTTTTCCTTTTCTGATACAAGGTCTAGCTCTCTGGCTTGTGAAAGGATCAAGAGAGAGATATTTAGTAATGAAAATTATATCAAAGCAACAGAAATTAAAAGCGTGTTGACATTATCTTATAAAGAAGCATGGTCATAATTACAGAAAATGACAAGTCCTTGGCTTTATGCTGTTGGTCAGCTTTGGGTGTTAGAGCCCGGCTGGGCCAGAGTTTGAGTACACTCACTTTGTTTAGTTATAGAGGGCCAAGACTTTTGGAATGGAATATAGCCAAGATTTGGATACTCATCTTATATGTATAGGTAAGTTATGTGCTTCTCCTGCTTTTCTTGTTTCTGTCTTTGATATAGTTTGTGGCTATCTTTGGATAGGATGAAAAGGGACAAATTTGGAAATGAAGGTAATATCAAAACAAAAGATATTAGAAAAGTTTTTACATCATGATGTCAATTAGCAGGGCTACAGTAGGGAAAATGACATGTCTTCGGTCTTACACTCTTAGCCTAATGTGGGTGCTTGAAACCAACCAGGTCAGAGGTTGAATTCAAGATCTAAAGTTTCCTTGTCAATTTCCCTTCCCAGCTCTAGCCATGGAAGCCCTGCCTTTGGTCTGTTTCCAATAGAGGAATTCATTATTTCTTCATTGAAGATGGGGTCACATGGCATCTGGAGGGTTTCTAGTTTTAGTCCAGGGGAGTAATGTCAAGAAGCATCATGCTGAGGCATGATGAAGTGTATTGATTGGAAATATTTCAACATACTGTTTTTGGGAATTAACCTCATAATTCCTGCAATGTATAAAAGTAGAAGTAGGAAGGATAGAGGGAGGCATGGGAAAACTGATATGAACTGATGCAGAGAGATGGTCCTCAAGAAATGATAATAGTATATACTAAGACTTGAAAACTAGCAAGAGAAAGCACCAGAAAGAGAAAATGCACACCTTGTTATTATGATGACCAACCATCTTGGTCCTAGAGGGGAGTTAAGAGAAAATAACTGTTTTGTTTGAATATAGAGTACCAAGACTTTTGGTGTGAAATATCACCTAAACAATCAGAAGAAGCTTATGGATGGATCACTTTGGCTGAAGTGCCTTTTCTGCTTTTGTTTTAGTCAATAATGTAAGGACTATTTGTGTAGAAGATATGGAAGGATATATTTGGAAATGAAGGTGGTGTTAAAGAAAAAGACTGGAAATACCTTTGACATTCTGTTATAAAGCAAGGTCAGTAGTATGGAAAATGGCAAGTCACTGGTCCTATGTAGCTGGCCAAATGAGGATGCTAGAAATCTGATGGGTGAGAGTTAGGCTTGATCTAGGGATGGAGAATCTACAGGGGCAGAATGCATTTCCAAGGCAAGAAGACTGCTATAACATGATAGAGAAAGTCTGGAGACTCAGGATTAGAACTCAAAGAGGAATGAAGTAATAGCTAGTATGTACTTAAAATGGAGGTTTGGACAGGAATTGATCAATCAGAGAAAAGGCCCCAAGTATTGGAATATATTTTTAGGGTGGGAAGCAAGTGGCAAAGTGAACCTGCAAGGTTAGAAATCTGCTGTGATATAAGGAAGAAATTCTGCAGTCAGGAGTAGAACCTAGAGAGGAAACGTTCTGAGAATACACCAATCAGAGAAAGAGTACGTCCAGTGTGAGGTCAGATGAGGAATGAACTTCCAGGGTGATGAGGCTGCAGGGCAAAGTGAAATCCCAGGGTGAGAAAGTTGCTGTGGCATGATGAAAAAAGTTTGTAGAGTCAAGAGTGGGGCCGAGAGAGGAATGAAGACATGGCAGACCTTAGACTGCCTTTCCTTAAAATGAAGTTTCTTATAGGAACTGACCAATCACAGAAAGGATCTACAGGGCAGAAGGTATGTCCAGTGGGAGACCAGTATAAACTAAACTTCCAGAGTGAAGAAGTTTCTCTAGTGTAGGGGATAATGTCTAAAGAGTCAGGAGTGGAGCACAGGGAGGAATGAACACATGGCTGGCCTGGGCACTTTCCTTAAAATGGTGGTTCTGGCAGGAGGCAACCAATCAGAGGAAGAGTCCAAAAGTGGGATCTACTTCTAGTTCAAGGTCAGGGAGATGGAATGTCCAGGGTGACAAGGCTGCTGTGGCATGATGGAAAAAATCTAGAGAGTCAGGAGTGGAACTGGCCTGGGCATTTTCCTGAAAATGGAGGCTGTGGCAGGAACCATCCAATCAGAGGAGGAGTCCAGCAGTGGGATCTACTTCCAGTTCAAGGTCAAGCAGACTGAATGTCCAGGGTGGTGAGGCTGCTGTGGTATGATGGAGAAATCTAGAGATGAAGAATGGAGCTCAGGGAGGAATGAAGACATGGCTGGCCTCGGCACTTTCCTGAAAATGGAGGCTATGGCAGGAACCATCCAATCAGAGGAAAAGCCCAGCACTGGGATCTACTTCTAGTTCAAGGTCAGGCAGACTGAATGTCCAGGGTGACGAGGCTGCTGT